GTGTCATTGAGAGAGGGCTCCTTCAACAGTACCTGAAAAATGGAATTTCTCAAGCACTGGCTGTGTATTTCTGCTTGGGGCTCCAACTCCAGCAGCCCTTTTGTCAAGGACAACAGCTTGAATAACCTTTTGGGGTTCACAGCTTGGCTCTTTGATATGTGTTCATACACACCAAAGTCTTGCAGCAGGTCTTGGTGAAGGCTGAATACTTTCAGCAGCAAACCTTCATCCACTTGTGGCTTTATTGTATGCCTGGGCCCACCTCTATTGTCCAGATGCTTGGGCATTGCCTTTTGTCAAGGGGGACACCCTTTTGTCAAGGAGGACAAAATGTACAGCGTTCTTTTGTCAAGAACACTTCTTTCGTCAAGAATGGGTCCAAGCTCGATGCTTGAGCCTAAAGGGTTGCATCTGCAGCACCTGCCTTTTCAGTTGAAAGCAAGAAATGTAAAATCAATATCCAAATCAATATTCAAATCAATATTTGGAAGCAAAAAACACAGCTAACAAAGGTCCGACAAAACATATTAGAAAAATCAATAAAAACGATGCAAATCAATATCAATAAATTATAGTACTTTCAGATTGATTAGAATCAATACCCGATGCCCAGGGAGCTTTTAGAGCTCTGGCACGGCGCTGAGATTTTGTCGCGCCAGTGAATTGGCTTGGCTTCGCTTTCGGCCTTTGGGCTGATGGGTCCAGGGCAAGCAATCGGCCTCCAGGCTGCGCTGCCTCCTTCGCTCCGGCACAGCAGTCGAATGGAGGGCAAAAAGGCGTGGGGTTGGAGGGCAAAGGTCAGCTGTACACATGCACGTTCTTGCAGTTACATACATATATATATATATTTACATAGATCTATTAATATAATTTAATATATATATATATATTTATACATTTATGTGTTGGGTTCTCATGTGTGTATGTATTTATTCATGTATACACAGACAACATTTGCTTGCGTACATGTACACCCACTATAACTGGAAACTTAGAGAAAACCAAACACACTTGACCACATGGCAACGCTCTTCAAATACTGGCAGGAGGTCAGAACGTGTCAGAAGACGTCTTCTGACTCCAATATGATCGGAACATGTCAGAGGACGTCTTTTGACGTCAGAACTTGTCAGAGGACGTTTTCATGTCAGAACATGTCAGAGGCCGTCTTTTCACGTCAGAACATGTCAGAAGTGTGTCAGAAGATGTCAGAACATGTCAGAAGTGTGTCAGTATGTCAGAAGATATCATGGGGTAGTTGTTCTTTTTTTAAAAAGCATGTCGTTACCAGTAGACTTCCATCCGCCGCTGCCGTCTGGCTCCGCAGCACGCTCTGCTACTGGCCAGGCACGCTGTCCGCTCCTCCGCGCCAAGCCCTACGCGGCCATGCCCCTGAAGCGCCCTGCAGCATCCGTGCTGAAGAAACTGGCGGCTTCGGCCGCTGAGCCGGACGTGACCCAGCTCACGACGGCACACCAGATCGGCGAGTTCCTCTTCGGACACGACGAGGACAAAACTTCGCGGCGCTTGGCGCTCTTGTCTGACTCGCAGAGGCAGACGCTGACGAAGATGTTCGAGCGTGCTCGCAAAGAGCACGGGCAGGAGTACGATGCTGTCAGTCTGCAGGGAGCAGGCGCCAACCGCAAGAAAGGCGATCTCTTGCTTGCTTGGCTTCAGCACGGCTTCAACGAGACTTACTGCACTCTGGCAGCAAAGATTGTCATGAAGCAGTCTCGCCTGACTCGGGAGGAGTGGATCCCCTTGCCCGAAGCCCAGCGCTTGTATGGCCGCTTTGAGCTGAAGAAGCGGCTGTTAAGAAGGGATCCTTGGAGTCGCGCCGTGATCCGGCTGACCCCGAGTTCTTCCAGGTGCGGAAGCGCCGGGAGCTTCAAGAGACCGGCACCACCAAGCAAAAAGAGCTCAAGGCGCTGTCCACAGGAGGAAAAGCTGGCGCCAAGCATGTCTGGGGCCAACTGGAATCTGACGAGCAAGCTCCACCTGTAGCTTGCCCGCCCAGCAAAAAAGGGAAGGATCGGGGCTGGTGGCGGGCAGGCCACAGACGTCGATGCGATGTTGGCCCTGCTGGACGAGGGCGGGTCGGACGACAATGTCGACGCAGAGTCCGGCGACGTCGAGAGCGCCGATGACGATGAGTTCGGGCAGTCTGCCGACTCGGAGGAAGAGACTGCGCCTCTGGCCCTGGAAGACAAAAAGTCCCGGAGGGCATCTCGCTCCCGGGCGCCAAGCAGCAAGGTCAGCTTGGACGACGTTGAGAAGTACAGCGCCAAAGTTGAATCTGTGCGTTCTGAGGAGCTTCGGCGCCGCCTGTCTGCCACCGCCAAGCTCGCCACTGCAGCCATCGAGGAGATGAGCGCTGCGCAGGACGCATCGAAAGGCCAGCAGAAGCAGCGGATCGTCGGCTGCAGCAATGCCTCGAAAGCTGCGCTGACACAGGTCCAGGCGGCGCTGGCAGACAAAGGTGCAACTGCCGAAGTCTCTAAGCGCGCGCTGCTCGAATGCGTCAAGTCCTTGAGCGCGGTGCTACATCGGCCTGATGTGTCAGTCGGCGTGTGCGCCCGGTCTAGAGCTATATAGCTTGATGATGAGCCAGTTTGTCGACTGGCAAGTTTTGTTCGAAACCTGACAGCCAAAAATCGCTCGGAAAAGGACTTTGATTCAACTATTATAATTGGCCCACGTCACGCGTAGGATGTTCTTCTTTTTTGCAAGCTCGCCCGCTGGAGCCGTTGCGTGTCTCTGCCGCACGCTGCTGCCCAAGCTATTGTACTTGCAGCCATGGCTAGGCGGCGAGGGTCAAAGCGCACAATCGAAGAGAGAGCGCTTTGGGCCTGGGGCATTCTGTCAAGCCCAATTGTGCAAAAGCTGGCGCAAGCAGCCCGCCTGAGCGGCTGCTCTGCCCACGACATCGACACGTTGGCGCAGCTAGGTGCCAGCGGTGCTCAAGAAGGCAACTGCCACCGAGACCTATACTGCGCGCGTACGCTGCCCGTTGCGTGACCCCGGCGCTATCGCCGGTCACTTGCCCAACGAACCGGCAGGTGCGGCAACGCTCGACACTCAGCAAGCAGTGCTGCCTGCTTCCCAGTGGATCCGGCGAGTGTGTGAGCATGGCTTGGACACAGCCTTGCTGGGCTCAGGTGCAGAGCGCGCAATCTTCTGAGCCGCCCAGAAGGACTCGCCTCGCACAACGGGCGTAGGCTACTACCATGTCCGTGACTTCTGCCCAGCAAAAACAGTTCCGCTGCTACTCTTTGCCGACGGCGCGAGCCATGCGGAGCACGATTCCATTGTGTCATTGAGCTTCCGGAGCCTCTTGGCGCACCAGTGCGACATCGCAGAGAGCATGTTTCTCCTAGCGGCCATGCGCTGTGAAGAAGGAAACATGGCGATGCTTTTGGCAGGCCTTGGTAGAAGATCTCAATTGTTTGGCCCACGGCCTGGACCACGACGGCTCCGCGCTGCCTCTCAGAGCTGCAGTGTGGGTTGTCTCTGGCGACTACGAGCATATGGCCAACGAGTATGGCCTCCCGCATTGGACGAGCCTTGCCTGCTTCTGGTGCTCTGCGCCAAAGGAGCACTTCTTCGACTTTGACGCGGTCGGCTGAAGACATGCTAGACCAGGATGCGCTGGACCATCCACTCAAAGCTTTGACCAACTACTCTCCATGCTTATTTGCCATTGACACCCTTCACTGCGTGGACCTTGGAGTGGCAGCCCACGTCTACGCCAACGTATTCCATGAGCTCACACAGAGTGGCCAGATACTTAAGGCGGCCAGCCTCGGCAGACTCAACAAAGAGCTGCGGTCGCACTGCGCTGCAGTCGGGTCGCCCGCGCCGCCGCTCCTGCGATACGAAAACTTCGCGCCACGGTCCGGTGAGTACCCGAAGTTGCGCCACATGAAAGGTGCCGCAATACGCCGCTTGGCGCCAGCTGTGCAAGCCCTTGCTGCCGCATATGGGCGCGGAAGTGCGCATCGCAAAAGGAGGGCTCGCGTGGCCGCCTTGCTGCGCGCAATCTATGACTCGACTTCCTGCCGAGACCTTGTCATGCCAGCAGCCAAGCACGCGGATTTTGCCCGCGTGCTGACGGAGTTCCTGGAAGAGTATGCCAAGCTAGCCACCTCCTGCAGGGGTAACGGATGGCACGTCGTCTTCAAGTTTCACATGCTCAGGCACTTAGACGAACAGTCTAAGCACTTGAGCCCGCGGTATGTGTGGACATACCCGGGAGAAACGTTTATGTCGTTCATGTGCCAAATAGCCAGCTCTTGCTCGCGGGGCACGCCTGGCCGACTGCTTGGCGTCAAAGTGCTGCAGAAATACCGGGTCGCTCAGCATCTCATGCTATCGCAGCAGATCCCTACGCGCTCACGGTTTCCAGTCGACGAACTCGACGAACTCGAAGATTGACCGCTGCTGGGCCTTGAGCCGCTTAGCTTGAAATGGCTGCGACAGCGTGGGGAAAAAAGCTTACGTGTGCGACAACAGCTCTTATAAAGATATGTATTGGCCCGAACCGCGATTGAATTTCATTTTTGACATGCTTGCTCGCGATCGATTCTGACAATTTTGCGACAGCACTCTGCGATTGAATTTCACTAAATAAGCCAACAATGAGCCGCAATTGAATTTTGGGATTTTGCATTGTTTTTGATGCGTTTTTGACCTGCGATTGAGTTTGGTTGCTGCAACTGATTTTTTTCAATCTTGGATGCTTTGGGTACATGGGGCCCGGCGATCATGCAAGCGCAAGGCTACTTTCAAAAGTCCTTCCGGCTACCACGGCAGCGTGCGACCACTAAAGATTGGGATTTGGTTTGGGCATCGTGGAAAGTTGCTTGGATAGAAGGAAGCGCCAAGCCAACGTTAATCCCCTGAGATGCAGAGTGGCCTAGTTGGGGGCTGAGCAATATTCCTGACCCCCAAATGACCATCATCCCACATCATGTGCCCCAGCTTTGCTTGCGCTGCTGCAGGCCGCCTAGCGGCCGCCCCTCGTCGGTGAAAGAGGCGGGGCCCCTCCATGTGGGGGCACCGGGCACGATCCGTCGTGGTGGCACCGTTGTCGATTGTGCTTACTTAGTCCTGTTCTCTTTCTCATACCTGCCCTCCGTTGCACGACTAATGATCTCATTAATGTAAGCATCACACTTGGCTCAGCTCTCCGCAAATCTCACGAAACTTGAAAATATTTAGCAAGCATGTCATATACGTGTACGCGTACATATTACATATGGGTGTTCTCAAGCTGATGGACCTTCTAGGTCATGTTTGCCTTTTGGATTCCCGGAGCACGATCCTACAGAGGGCCTACCATTTGATAACATCCGCATGTGATTTCGGTCTGCCGCGAGCTGAGCCCCCCAACCCGCTCCAACATTTTCGCAGGGTGAACGTAGATGGCGCATATGCCTTTATCCAGGTAAGTAATTAAAAGGGATGACTCAACCCCAATTGTGGAAGCATACCATCTACTTTCACCGCAGTACGGGTGTGCCAAATCTAGGATGTTTGTTTGTTCAAAGCGTCCGTAGAGGAAGCTTTCTAAGCACGACTATAGTTGTTCCAGGCCTCGACACCTTCTGAAGAATTCTGAAGAAGCCGAATGTGCATGGTTGTGAATTGAGTGCACTTACAGCCGTGGGTGGGGCAGTGTTGACTCATGCCGAAATACTAGTGTTTTGCTTTCTTTTGGAATGACTGCTGCACAAAAGCGAACTTGGCTCGCCACCATGAGTCCATAGTGGCGTGCTCGCCTGTCTAAATTTCTGACCTGCGCCCCGCCCAAGAGTCCTCTGGCACTGCAACATGTGAATTGGACCGAGCGCGATAGTGTTATATGTGTTGCCACCATGACGGCCCCGCTTGCTTCAGTCAGCCATGCCAGCTGACCAGCTGCTCCAGGTATGGGATCGCATTCCGTAGGACTCCTCTGGTGGAATTGCCTGGGGATTTTCGCCTGCAACCCTCACAGCGCGTTTTGGATGGTGTCAAAGGCGCCAAAGAGAGGTTTACCACTTGGGCTTGTTTTCAACACCCTGCATCCTTTCGGCAAGCACATTCCACTCTAAGAGTCCACCTGATTGAAGGGTCACTGCACTTGTTTCCTGATTCATGGACAGTGTACCGAAGCTTTAGGGGCCATGGGGCCCAATGCGGAGCCCCGGCTTACCTGCGCGCTCTGATTTCCAGGCTACCAGAGAGAGCATGCGCAGTATCTTGGCAGGAAAGACCGTCGAATGCAGGGCCGGGTCTGACGATGTAAGAGCATGCCATTTGTTCAGACCCTAGACCCTAGACTACCTTCTTGGTGCGCATTTGCAGGTTCTGGACTATCTTAGGCTCTGGGGATGGCACATGGGTTGGGTGGCAGATGTCCAAATCTGCAAAGGAGTAGCTGCGGAATTGAACTGCTAAAGCATCTCTGTTCTAACTAATCGGTGCCAAAGAAAAAAACCTGAAAAGGGTAGAAAGCAGCAAACGGAAAGCGCCAGAGTTCTTGAGGGAAAATTTGGGTGCAGTGGTTTTCCATCGCGGGTTTCCTTGCCTTTTTGTTACTTGCCTTCCATGTTGCTTGGCTTTGTCTTCCTGTTGCCTTCTCTTCTGCAATATTTTTCTCTGATCAAGCCCTTTGCGTTGCGCGTTCGTCCAGTCATGTCCACAAAAACTCACCTTCTTACTCTTTCTCCGCTTTGTTTTGAGGCTTCCTGAATCCATTTGCCGCCTGCTGGGTGAAACTGGGCCAATGTCGCCACCGGCCGAAATTCCATCGAAGTCCATCGCAACATCGCACGGGGCTCCAAAGCAACCTCAAAGGGTTCGGGGAGGAGTAGGTCTTGCTTTTGCCTAGGTCTCGCTTTTGCCAATTAAGGCCTTAACGGTCGTTTGTGTTTATTGTTATTCCATTGTCTTTCCTTCTTTTTGTTTGGGGGCGGGGGTTGTGGGGGTCTCTGGTGGTTTGTCGGGACCTTGGGGTAACTCTTTCCCCTTCTGCCTTGTTAGGCACCACGATGTCTGGCTCGCCTGCCAATGCACTGCGGGCTGCGCGCAAGACTTCAGGCACCCGACGTGTGGCGTTTTTTGGCATGGGGGCCCTTCTCCTGCTAGGTCCCCCGGTAGTGCCCTTTTACCCTTTTTTTGGGGAGGGTTCCCCTACTAAAATAGACTACAGAAAAAAGGATATCCTTATTCTAACCTCTCTACTGGAGGACCTAGCCTGAAATGAGGGGCACTGAAGTTGCCGCGAAAAGGAAAGCAGCAGGGCCTCTCAGAACGTGGGAGTGTGAGGCGAGGCTCCAACCCAACGTTGTCAAAACTGAATCATTGGGCAAACCTTCACGTCACCTTGCGGTTCGCTAATTGGAAGCTAGGAATGTAGGATGTTTTGAAGGGAATGGAAGAGGGAATCCTAGATTCTGGCAGATCGAGTCCAAAAGCGAGAATGAGGGCTACATTCGGCTACAAAAGGTATTCGGAAGTCTGCCAGCCTGGTTCGAACATCAGAGACTCTTGAATCAGAGATCTTTCTAGGTGTGCCTCATGCGTGCTCGCGACGCGGCTGTTGCTGGTTCCGGAGGGCCCCGTTGGTCGTTGGGGATTCGGCTGCAGGAATTGCACAAAGCGTGCTAAGTACACGTTTCCCAATGTCACAAAGCATGAGGTAACGAGGGAGCCTTCAGGTGCATTGAGTCGCATTGGCTTGTGTGGCTTCAGCTCTGGATAGAAGCGCTGATCCCTTGGAAATAGAGGTGTGGGTGTGTCCTCAAATCGGACTCCCTTTTGTAAGTGTTCACAACAAGGAACACACACAACAAACCGTTCATTTTATTTGGTCCCCTTTTCAGGAACACCCTAGGTGAAAGCTGAGATTTCGCTGGGATGCATTTTTGTTTTGAACCTTCGCTTCAGGGGATACGCCGAGCCTCCGTATGTGGCCAGGGATCAGCGGTGTGGTTCCTGCTGCTTTTTCGCCCGACCATCCCCTTAGCACAGAACCTGAATTTGAACCCGTGGTTTGGTGGTTTGGTGGTGTGGCAAATTTGGTGGTTTGGTGAGTTCCCTGAAATATGATTGTTCTGCCAGATTCCGCGCGTGCGTGTTTGTTTTTGTGTGTCTGGAGATAGCATTGGTTCGGCACATGCCTTGTTGCATATAAGAAGACGTTTTGTTGGACAGGACAACAACAGCTTTCCTAAGCTTGAACATTGCTGTGAATGCAGCACCTTGTTTTAGTAGCCCTCCATGCACAGACCCGCAACACCAAACGAACACCATTAACGGTGGTCTTCCAATTTAGGGACCTTCTCTTGGTGTAGATTCAAAGGCCAACCGAAAGGCCGCCCACAATATGTTCAGCGTCCAATTTCTATGTGTTTGTTTTGACAAATTCAACTGGGACGGTTTCTCTGAACTGCAAACCCTGACAAATACTGTGGGTGGACAACATCCTGCACCACTCTGAAACCATGGGAAGCCGTTGTTTGTTCGAATTTACACGGGAATCATCAGAAACCAGGGTTTCTTAGGTGGTGCGAAATGGATTTCGTGCATCCACAGTAGGAGCCCTTTCGACATGACTCAACATGGTTGCTTCCCAGGGTTCGCTTGCGGCCTGAGCTCGAGGCAGTCTAGAACGAGTCAGGGCGCAAAGCCTGGGTGTCTTGGAGCAAAGCGTGGGTTCTATGTACAATGGCAGCTGCACCCTGTTGTCCTGTGGACTTTTCAAGGCTGGCCTTCTCTTTAACACATCAACCCGCAAGTTGCATTGGGATGATTCGCTTGTGCTGTGCTGGTTTGAATCGTTTGCCCACTAAGCTTGTTGTTCTGCTGCCACGCTGACTTCGAACAATATCTTAAAACATGTATATGCATGTTACTGTACTGTTACTCATGGTCGACCCTTCGCCGGGAGTCCCTATTCTCCACATGCACCGAACGCACCTATGTGCAGTTTTGCATATAACAGTCATAGCATAACATATACATCATATATTATTTGTTGTTTGGAGATGGTTACGCACGATGCCCGGCCCTGTATTGCATTCTGTTGAGGTACCGCCTGATCTCAAAACCCAGCTGCTGTAGCAGTGATTGACCGCCTTTCGAATCTATCACGGACGGACCCTCCGTAGACCGGAAAAGCAGTTCTCCACACTCAAAGCGGCTCAGGCTTGGGTAACCCTGAGTAAACATTCAAGCTTTTTGCTGACAGCATCCCCATTGGATACTGCCATGTCCGAAACTCTTACAGAAATGATCTAAAGACCTGCACCGTCTGACACATGTGCCCTTTCTGAGCAACGAGTTCCGATGACACAAGATCAGCAGATCAGCAGCATCCGAGAAGCCTTCCACATGGTTTTAGGGGGACGGGGGGAGACCACATGCTTTTTCTGTGGATAGGACTGAGGGCAGGGAAGAGACGCCTTTCTGAGAGGGTTTAATGTTCACTGTTATCTGCGGTGAGGGGAACGTTTCAACAGGCAAGGCCGGGATCCCAGGGACATGGGAGGTTATTTGTTAATTTTTGATAGGCTGGGCTCGTTTGCGCCTTGTTTTTGGCCGCCCTTGCTTTTTTGTTTAATGTTGCCAAATGCCCAGACACCTATGCATATCATTTTTCCACACTCCGGGGCCCAGTGCTCTTCAGCAGAAGCAAGCTGCTCCATGCCTCTGTGCTCCCGGAGCTCGGTCCATGGGCTTTTCAAACTCCGATAATCGGTGACTTCGCCAACCTCCGATTCCATCCAAGCACCAAAATAGGAAGCCGAACATGGGCTTGGGGAATTCACCAATCCCAAACTGGTACTATTGGTTTTGACCCACAGCCACCATAGGAAAAACCAAGGGGATCAACCAAAACTGGGAAAACCAAAGGAAAACCAATCCCAACCAAACTGGGATCAACCAAACCGGTTTTGACCACCAGAGCCAGAGAAGCGGAGATTGGGTTACTCGATTGCTCAGGGGATCCCTTTCACCCTAG